GGTAGCAGATAGATTGATGGATAGATGGATGGCTGGATGGATGGATAGATGATGGATGATGGATAGATAGATAAGATAAGAAAAAGTAAATAAATAACCATGCGTACTCGTGGATGGAATCATTTAGATTTTCAATCTGTATAACTTTTTCTTTAAGTTCTCGGAACGGCATGCACTTCGTCAACCGAAAGCACGGTATGCGCACTTCGCAACACTGGATGCAAAGACGGCGTGTGTGCTTGTAACCTTGGATACAAAGGCAGTGTGACTTGCAGCTTGAGTTTGTATTGAGTTTTACTGCATTTAAATAATATTACTTTTATTATTATTTATCTATAATTATATATATATACATAAATAATAAGTGTTTCAGACCATATAGTATATAAATTTAAATGTCATTTAAATATTAAAGAATAAAGCAAACAAAAGTTTAAAAGAATGTATAATTATTAAAATACTTTCAATGTTCAACTAACTCGGATTTTTTAACTTTTACTGCATTACCATGTAGGGAGATAATATTTTGCCCTTACGCAGATTGTGCTCGAGACAATTCTGCATCCGGTTGATAGAAACGGACCGCGTTGTAAAAGGTTTATTTAAATATTTGATTAAACTAAAGAATGTTCGAACGTGTTCTTATACTCAACATACGAAGAATTTAGCTAACATCCAGAAATTTTCATTTGTACATATTAGAAAGCTGACTACAATCCTCAAAGAAGTAAATTTCTCGAAGTTGTTAAAATGTTGATTTTCAATATCATGATTATAACAATTAAAACTCCTGTATAAAAACCGCACACGAGCAGGTCCATTGGCGAAGATAAAATCATATAAACACTAGCACAATCACGCGAGCTTGCATTGCATGTTTTGTTATTGAATTTGAATGGCGAAGAGTGATTTGTTTTTCCTGTTTTTTTTGGGGAGGGGGGGTTGTTGTTGTTTTTTTCCGAACCAATCAAATATTGTTTGGAAAGAAAAATTGCCTTAATATATACATAAATTAAAAAAGTCAAAAAATCCTATTAAATTTTGCTTTAAGTCGTTGGAACATCATGCACTGCACAAAACGAAGCTACAGTTTGCAGTCTAGAGAATGCCGAATGTAAAGAAAGTGAGTGTGCTTGTAAGCCTGGATACTATGGCAACACGTGTCTCAAAAGTTTGTATTCTTTATCATTAATTTGAAATAAATCGTCCTTTCGTGAACTGAAATATATATTTAGTTATATACATGTATGAATTAGCTACATACAAGTCATTACAGATTCCCAAAAAGCATAAACGACTAAAAGCTTGATTGACTTGCACAAAACATTTATACGTTTATCTATCATTATTAATGTATGCAAATGTAATATATCTATCTGAAGAAGTGAGCAAAAAAGGAAAATGAATATCATTCATATAAATCAGCAATCATGCGATAGAAAAATCTTTTGTACAAAGGTGTCATATGTATATAGCAAATTAAGAAAATATAATTGAACTTTGGAATTAATTCATGTGAAGAAGCTGATTCGTTCATGTGCGAAAGTAATCCAGCTAGCTTACAGAACGTTGGCGGTTGTACTTTGGTGCCTGTCCATGCAAAAAAAGCTGGAAAGTCGCCATATGCACTCTACTGTATTGGTACGACGTAAAAACCAAACAAAGTTCTCTTTATTATGAAAAGCTTTGTTTTGCATAACAACATCGGATTAATGTTCACATCTGCTTTAACTTACATGACATGATATGATTAATTGTTTGGTTCTTTAATCTTTATGAAGAGATGATTTGGCAAACAATGCTTAAGTTTACCTTTCAATAGCTTCAATATTTAAGGTTGATCGTATTCATTTATATTGTGATCACGTGAATGTTTTTTCTCCGTAACGGTTTCTCTTTGGTTAATCAATCTTGAAAGAGTTTTCACGTCCGCGGCGATGGACTGCTGCATACTTCAAAAATTTGATCACAGTTTTTAATAATGAAATTGTATGCTTAAATTATGTTATTATATTAAACATGTATCACTGTGCAAGAAAAATAGAATTATAAATCAAAATCTAGGCGCAATAATACGCAGTTTAAGTTAAGAAAAAAATAACATTATAAAACAAACACATGGTGTAGTGAAGGGTACAAGAAACAGTTTCTTTCTTACTCTTTATGGTTCCCATCTTATCTTTTTCAGTTATTGGAAGTGATTGTAGCGGTAGTGCTGCATGTCCTGGCGATGCTAATGCAATGTGTAAAAGTGATAAATGTGAATGTAAAGAAGGCTATGCAGAAAAGAATGACGTTTGCACACAGAGTAACACAATATGATTAAAAAACCTTTAAACTTTAAAAAGGACTCCACCAGTTGTTTTGACATGATGGGACTAGAAATATTTTCTGAGACTTGAGTACAGTTTGGTGTATGCCTAGATAAATTTGTATGCAAATTTGCAGATCATTTCCTTGCCACTTTTTCCACTCATTTTCTCACTTTATCGTTGATATCAAATTAAATGCTTCGATGTATTTACCTTAGTGGAGCTCCTTCAAGTTTTTAAATTTCTGCCAGAAAAACAAAAAATACTTTAAAGCTAACTTATCTTTTCTTTGGTCATTTGCTAAATAACAAACAATCAAGATTCAAATACGTCGTGCTTGATGTACTTGTGGAAAATCACAGTAACGGTCGCAATTAATGTTAAACTAAATATATATTTATAATTATTTTCTTTTTAAATTCATTCTATGCTAACCGAATAAAAGATATTACATAAAAAAAAATGTGAATATATAAATAAATATACATGTACATGTTTTTTCAGATGTCGATGGAATTGATTGCTCAAATGCTAAAACTGCATGTGACAATACTGAAAATGCCGTATGTGACACAGACAATGGTAAATGTAAATGTAAATCTGGCTACAAGATGGATATCGACAAATGTGAAATGGAGAATTCTGGTAAATTTTTCACCCTTAGATTATTTGCATATTTCAATCAATAACGGATAACGCAATATGGGGGTTGATTTATATTGTTAAAAGGGGATTTCATTGCAAACCATTCACGGGTTAATATGTATGTAAATATAGTCATACATTTTGACACAATACAAACTGTATAAAATTCAACAATTTTAACATGCATACACGTATAATGTTTGTTTCAAGTAATTAACATGTTCATTGTTTTCAAAACCAGTATTTTGTATATATCTCTAATTAATATTTTAGCTGCAATGACCGGATATGGGGCGATTGTACTGGCGTTGTCACTTCTGGCATCATACCTTATGCTGCTCTAAGGGAAATCAAGTTTGTAAGTATCAATATTTTTTGAATATATAAAGAATAATTAGATTAGAAGATGGACAATGGCAGATTTGTAATTTAGCTATGATTGAAAATAATTATATGTACATAAATTTATATAACAGTATTTGATAGATTCCTATCATAATTGTCTTTTATGTCAGTTGTATATAATATGGTAATTATGATGAAGATGGTTTCGTCCTAGTTATTAATAACAAGTCTTCCCACATTTTATATCATATTCCCATGGATATAGAGAAAGAACGTCACAATGTTACCTATTCAAACCCTACCCATAAAATATCATAAATACCTACATTCACAGAGGAGACATGCTGAAGCTAATTTATTGCAATATCTACGTTGATTTTGTCGCGGAAAAGCACATTATAATTATATATTTCAATGTGTGTCTATGTCTTTTTAAGGTTTGTTTCGTATGGATTTTCTATACTCTACACAGTCCTTCTTTGCACATATGAAAAAGACTTATGTTTTGGATTCAATATTAATAAATAAATGTCACATAAGTAACAAAAATACCTTATGTCCATATTTCATAGCTCACTACGTTTTTATTCATTTCGATATAGTTTATAGAAAACGCATTGATTTGAAGGTGACATTGAAGTTAACATCCCGAGAAAAAAAACCTTTTAATGAGTGATTAATATATTTCCTTCCTTTTCTGTTACTCAAAAGCCTATACATGATTCATTTTATTATCTTGCAGTCTAGGACTGAAATGATAACAAATTTTCACAAACCTGTTACATTATTAACTGATATCAACCAATCTCCTGACAATGAACAAATGAATTGTGAAGTTATTTACTTTTCCTTTGAATGCATGTCGATATCTTCCAGCAATAACCATAAGTGAGCTGTGCTTCAATTACTATTGCATCATAGTTTGGGGACCTTTCTATTGAAAATGTGTCAAGAGTCAAATCGTATATATATACAGGCACAGTGCGTGAATTGGACTGCAGGTATAAGTTACCCGCACTCCAGGGCATGCCCATTGATTGGCTCATTTTGGCTGGGGTTAACTTATAGTGACGAAAAGGGAGAGCATATTAAGATGCATGTTCATTGGTTATTTTTTTCTGGGATTTCATATTGTGCCACGAGGGAGAGTTTGTTTTATGTTCGACTATGATTCAAAAGGGAAAGAACATCAAAACACTCGGACATCCGATTAATACTCGGGGGCTACGCCCCCTCGTACAAATCAGATTGCCCCGTGTTTCGATGCTCTTTCTATTACTTAAAACACAAGTCTTTTTATAAGGATAATCATCTTGGTTCAATCTGATCGTTTTAAATTAAACTGCAAAACTAAATCTTTCCATTTGAAAAAATATTGTTTTAAATAATTTAGCTGTGTAACTCTCTTTTTGCTTTTGGCATTTGAATTTGATACACTGAGTTAAACCCTGAAAGTCATCAGACATTCTAACTATTCTACAAAAAAGTTCAAACCACAAAATCACTTTTAGACGATTAAGAACTAATTTTCTGTTGCTCACAGTTTCTCTGCCGAAGATCCCGCGTAGTGAATTTTGTATATATTAGAATTTTATTTATGTTGTGTCATTGCACAATTATTATTCATCTGGAACACTTTCATTACCAAAAAGGAAAACTTCACTTGCCTAATGAATTAGCAACATTGCAAAAAAAATGAAAGTCATGGAAGATGAGCCGCTTTTCAATAAATCCATGTAAATATTTTCTATTTCACTCTCGTAAAATGAAAACTTTCGGGATGAGACATATAGGCTCCTGATGAATTCTGAGTTAATGTTCAATGATTTCCTAAAAATTGCAAAAAGGACAAATAACCGGTTAATACACCAGAAACTGAACAATATTTTTAAGATTTTGCCTTAATGGCCCATTATGGTCCATTTTTTCAAAAGCTTTTAATTTGTTGAGCCCTGTTATTATTATAGTTTTCAGAAAGTTTCTCTTCTGGCTTTTATCTGATTCATTTGCTATTTTTTCTTATTGAGAAGTATAACAGTTATAGTAGGTTGAGCATTTTGTTTGTACAGAAGCTTAAATCATCTGTAACTCGATTTTTTATGGTTTTATTCCATAAATATAATAATCAAATGAAGATTTATCAATATTGTAAGTTCCAAAAAACATTATTTGTAAAGATATTACCACATTCACATTTCATATTAATAAAGGGAGGTATTTAGAAATTAATTTTCTATAAAGTTTAAGTCAAATTTTTCAATAAGAAATGAATGTTTATATTTTCATGATTATTATAATGTTTATAAATATTTGCAGTACATATTTTACATATGCTTCGATGTTTGAAAATTGTTTAAGAAGCATTATTATATACATAATTATATGAATTTTCACTTAAGTGTGGTAACAACTTTAATTAAAACAGTATTTTGAGTCACTTTTTTAAACATTTCCCTACTTTTTTTAAACAAAAATCAAGTCCGATATTTTTTCTCGGGTAAAGATCTGACATGTAAAAAACCATTTTTTTAACTTTTATAAAAAAAGTTTTTTTTATAAATAAGGAAAAAAAATATTCGTTTTGAGGCATATTGCGCCTTTAACTTTTGAAGAATTATCAGGTAGTTTAGATTAACTATTTTATTTTCGATTTTAAATTTGTGCGTCTCTACATATGCTGCTTTTTGTCTGTAACCTCATTTATCTGTCAACTAACATTTTTGTTGTGAAGTGTAAAATGTACAACTGTTTAGTTTTTTAATGAGGGTTAACGTTTACTATATGAATATATTTTGGTAGATCATGCTACTTTGTTTCATATAAAGTAGATATATTAATACTGAAAAAGGTTATTAGTCGGTATAGAGTATTATCCGGGACCAAACCGATTATAGCAACGGAAAAGTTCACTAAAATGAAATTTGTGTTTATCTTTTTAGAGTAAATTTAAACAGCCAATGTAATGGTACCATGGTACATAGATTGTGCTTTCGACCTATCCGTATCGGGTTCCTGATCATACATGAATTTTCGAAACTATCAGGTATCTTATCATACAAAAATATTGAAAAATATCGAATATCTTATCTTATATCGGAAACTTTCGGGTATCTTATCATACAAGAATATTCAAAAATGTTAAAGTAAACTGAAATCCAAAAAGAATAAGTAAATGTAGTTAAGTTAAAAGATAAGAAAATGTTTATACCATCAATGTATTAAAATTTCAATGTTTCTGTAACCGTTTAATATTCCCGATGAACACCACGTGATTATGGATAAACGTTACCCCTCATTAAAGAATATACAAACGGTATATATATGTATATATGATCAATAATATTGAATTATAGTATCTCAAAAATTGCTATTTTAACCTTCCAAATATAAAAACTTTAATTTAAATATGTTTAGTCAATTTTTCAAAAACTGTAATAGAAAATATTTACACATCTTATAGAGAAGATAAGTTGATGGAAATGATTTGTTGAAATAAATTAAGTATTTGAAACAAAAATCATATTTCGAGAATAAACAGTTGTAACATATTGAGTGTTTTTCTTTTATTGAATGTATATGTCCAGAAAGCTGAAATTTTAAATAATATCTTTACTCGGATAATTTATTTATTTTATTTTTTTTTAAATTTCGTCCTTGCTTTGTCCAGAGGATTAAAATTTTCCAATAAAATTCCATTCTAAACTTTTAAATATGCCGATACATCGAAAAGAGATCTGATGAAAGTTATGCCTGAAATGACTATACGCCATCACCATAATCCATTACCATTAAAAATAGCTTTTGTCATAAAGTAAAAGTAACATGGTGTTACGAAGCAAATAATGATTAAAAGAATGATCAGCGTATGAACGATTGTTGTTGCTTAGTTGCTAATGAAATAGACTTTGAGAGATATTCAAATTTAGGCATGCTCATTAGCCGAAATATGTGAAGCGAAAAGTAAAGAGATCAATATATATGATTGAATAGATATTATTCTACATTGTAACTGTGTGAAACAAGACATAATTCAAAAGGTATTACAAAAAAGTAAAACAACAACAACAAAAAATGATTCCTTAAAAAACACCAAAATGGCAAGAAAATAATTCATGCTTGGTTCGATTAAGCCTGTTCAGGAACGATTCTGGTATGTACAAGCTGCCATGTACGCCCCTGGCATCGGGTCAATCAGATAAAGGGTGATTAGAATTTCAGATATGTAAAAAGTGTATAGCATCATTTAAAAACGACTCCATTGGTTTGTCCAATAGTTACGAAATTTTTTATGGAGTAATTATAAATAATGTTAGAAAAGTCCCCTAGGCAAGTTGCAGGGTACATCCAAATTCACTTAGGTTAAAGGGTTAAAAAGATATTATGAGAGGGATTGGTTTAAACCCCTTTTTTTCCCTTGTTTTTTTTACCTATTCATGTTTATATTTGAAATGCATTTAATGAAAAGGCCACATGCTTGAAAATATCTTAGAAACACCTATTTGTCTTGTTTTGTAATTTACGCAATTGATTTTAATCCGAATGAATTTTAGATTAATCCTTAATCCATGTTAATAAAAAAGAGTATAGCCATAACCAATATAAGTGCAAAACAGACATATTAAAACCTTAATAACCTTAATAACTTCAAAAATGTTGAGTTATAAATACAGAAGGAGAAAATATACAAAAATAGACATAAGCGGGCTGGATCCAACAAAACACAGGACATTTAGAAATTATAAACCCGTAGTTTACTCTATTGCGCTATAACAGTCCGTATAACTATTTCCTTAAAATAATTTAAATTGAATCACATCTTACATAAATAACTCTTTGATAACCAATGGTTTCACCAGATATATACTGAATTGTAAGAAATATTCAAGGTTACCCTTAGGATAAAGATATAAAGACGTTTGCGCATGTGCTTATTTCATAAAGTTTGGTTGCAAAATTGGTAAGCTGAATTAAAATTGGACAGATGAAGCAAAATCAGTCAGCTGAATCTGTGATAAGAGTCCGGTCATTATATTAAACAGAATTCGAGTTTCACAAAAATGAGAGCAACAGGTTTATGTGGATCATATTTTTCGAAAAAAAAATTGTTTTCGCAAACCTATGAGAAATTTTAAAAAAAAAAACTATAAATTAAAATTTATCATTTGATTTTTTAATTCCAAAAATTTGGAAATTTAAACCAAAAAGGGTAAATTTGGGTGGTTTTGAATAAAGGGAAGGAATTCGATTTGTGTACCTAACAACAGAAAAGAAAATTCCCGTGGGGCTGCGCGACAGAGTTTTTTAAAAATATCTACAAGGAAGACCCCCCGTTATTTCTTTAAAAAAATTTTAAGAACCTAATCTTGAACCCCGAATAACAACAGCTGCAGTCCCCGGTATTTACAACGCGCGAATGTTCTCCGAAACATTGCAGAATAATAAAAGTCAAGTCAGTAAGCGGCGGTCACACACGCTTCGGGCAATTTTCTTTTAAATTTGATCCTTCAATGTTTCAATACAAATCAGACAAATTAGATTTCATCAGTCAATTATGCTGACCTAAATGAAACACAAGACACTCTTTCTGTTAAGGTTTATATGACGTTGGCATTGACTACAAAACAATTGTCAAACGAACACACACAGTCTATTAAATTCGGTGGTTGGTCATGAGAAGTAATCAGGGCATTGGCAAGTTATATAAACCACACCTTTTTCCTCCTCAAATCATCGGAACTACAGCGACCTAAATAGCTAATCATTTCCAACCGACAAAATAATTTATTTGAATTATAGTGCGTGAAGGTCCCATTGGTCGAAATAAACAAGGCTTGTTGCTTCAAACAGAATATGAATTATTAAGGTTACCATTTTAACGAATATTGAAGAGATATTACAGCGTTCTGGGCTATTTGCGAAAGCACTTAACTAATTTCACAAAACTCTAAATCGCTAAGAAATGATTAATTTATGAACATTACTATTTTGTGAATATAAGTGTGAAGGCGTCTAAGTTCTAAGTAATGTCATTACTCATGTAGTCAATATCCCTAGGCATGCTTTCGATTATTTCAAACGTCAATAGTTTCATAAAATTGTTTTTGTCCATCGCCAGTTACCCACGGTGCATATTTGTACATTTTTAGTTACAAGTATGTACGGAATATATTTATACCGTTGGCACAAGGTGATGTTCTTTATCATGACGTTCTGTTACTAAAAGTGCTGCACCTCCACGGATGCTTTTAAAAGGTTTATAATCATTTTAAACTTATATAATGTATTCAGTAGTCAATAAAGATTGATTTCATTTTATTTATTTACTGACCAACAGGTAAATATTACAGTTTTGCTAGGAGAAATTTGCAATTGTACCTGCAGCGTGTTTTTGTTGACATTAATGATGTTCGGAACTGACAATGGAAGTTCTAACATCTTTTTTGTTGATGTTTTGTCATTTCTTTCAATCTCATTTAAGCAAAAAGTGGGTTGTCGTGACTTGACTTGATGAAATGTGTAGTATTCAAGTATTAATTGACTGCGCATTTGAACTACAGCAATGTGTCATAGGGGGCCTGAAATTGATTTTACAACCGACAAAACAATTTCTATAATTATATTTCGTCTTTAGCCGAGTTTATCAATGAAAGTTGGCTTCAAACAAAATATATATTATTTAGTTCACTATTAAAAAAATAAATTACTGCGACAAAAAAGTGTACCATGCTATCAGTAAATGGCAGTAAAATTACCCATTTGCTACGCTTTGCGTTTTTTGCAAAAGCTGTTTAATATTTACGATTAATACTCCACAAGTTAATGTCAACCATATTCAAATTAACATGCATAGTTAGTTTTTTATTGG